GGGACGGACTCGTCAAAAGTGACGTCCTGAGAGGGCAAGACTCGGCGCGAGGTGGCGTGGTAAAACTGCCAACCTGACGCGTCCGGGACAAAGCCGAAGAAGACGCAGAGAACAGCACAGGAGGAGAGCTTGTCCGCAGACGTATCGCGGACAAAAGCTCGAGATCCCCAGACCCGGAAACGCGACGCATCGCCAACCTCCCCCGTCCACAGCAGTGTGGGCGAGGTCTCCGGCAAGGAGACACGGGGCCAGAGGTTGAGCTGATGCGCACCGTACCGGACCGCAAACGGCCACAGAAAGTGGGGGGCAGCCGCATGGATCAAGGAGGTACGGGTGACCTCCATGACCAGGCCAATGCGGCGCTCTGCAATCCCATTCTACTGTGGAGAGGCCGGAAGCGTGAACGACTGCTCAATGCCGTGCTCAGCACAGTAGGCTGCCAAGAGGTCGGAGGAGAACTCACCACCTCTGTCAGAGTGCGAGCGCAGGACAGGAAAGTCCGAGTGGAAACGCTCGCTGAGCTGGAGACGGGCTCTGCGGATCCAAGGGATCAAGACATCAGGGACCTCACCCTTGGTGCGCAAGGGGAAGACCGTGGTGTAGCGCGAGTAGTCATCAACAACTATCAGGAAGTACCTCTCCTGACCCTGACCACGGACGCGGGCTGGGCCCCACACGTCCATGTGGAGCGTCTGCAAGGGAGCAGTCGTCGAGGGAAACGAGGAGGAGTGAGGAGCGGCGCGCTACCGCCCCTCGATGCAGGGAAGACAGGGAGCAGCAGGCGAGGGTGGGAGGGGAGGGAGGACTCAAGGAAGAACGGAGACAAGGTACCGGGAGTGCATGACACGAAGGCGCTGCACAGACGGGTGGCCAAGTCGGTGGTGCCAGAGGACAGTCTCGTGCGCTAGAGAGCGACACGAGCAGGGGGCAGACAGCTGACCTGACACAGACGCAGACGCAGACGCAACGACCTGAGGGGACTCAGTGGTCAGTGTGTACAGGTCCGACCCCGGCTGCCGAGTGAAGGTAGCCAAGTGGCGGCCCGTACGAGCACACGTGCAGTGTGTCACGCGCTCGTAGGCAGGGGTGAACTGGTGAACACCCCCGTCCTGGAGTGCACTACCTGCCACCAAGTTTGTAGAGAACGATGGGAGGTGGAGACCTGACAGTGTGCCCGACGGGACCGCAGGACAGAGAAGGACAGTGGAGGAGGTCGCACTGACCGGACCCCCAGAGGGGTCAGCGAGGGAGACAGCAACTAGCCGAGCAAGCGGCTCAAGGGCAGTGCGGTCACGAAAGAAGCAGCGAGAAGCACCTGAGTCCAGTGTGAAGGTATGCAGTGCTGCCGTCGACTCAGTACCAGGGGGGGCAGACGCACAAGCACCTAGAGCAGCTGCCTCACCAGCACCTGGGGTAGCAGACACGCGAGTACCTGGAGCGGCAGACGCACTGGTCCTAATGCCCGGGTCGGGCGGCACACACAGGTACTCAGCACCCTCTCGACTAGTAGACATCACATACATAGCAGTGAGAATAGCATCAAAGTCTAGAGCATAGATATCAATCCCCTTCTTCAGGAGATCAACTCAGCGGGGCAGCTCAGTGGCCTGAGGGAACTAAACACGCCAAGCGTCGTTGAGACGAGCGAAGCATCGCTGTGTGGCGTGCGGTCCCCCATACGGCTGACCACTGCGGTCACCAGTGCGAATGACGTACGTGTAGCTAAAGCCACCCCCCCCCCCCCCCCGTGCTGAGAGTACCACTCACGGACCTCCTGGGGCGACGGAGTGTGCTGCTGGCTCTGGCCGCCGCCAGCGCCTCCACGACCACCACCGCCGCCGCCACCTCCTCGACCACCCCAACCCCTGCCGCCGCCGCGTCCACCGCCACCCCCACCACCGCCTCCGCCCCTGCCACCTCCCCCGCCGCTGCCGCCACCACCCCCACCGCTGCCACTAGCCCCTCCAATCGCGCCACCACCCCCACCGCCGCCACCGCCCCCACCACCGCCTCCCCCGCTGTCACCGCCACCGCCCTTGCCCCCTTTGCCTTTGCCGCTGCGGCGCCCGCTCGAAGCAGACGCAGTCCCGACCTTCTCAGCACCAAGGAGGTCGACAGCAGCAGCAGAGGCGACAGAGGGAAGAAGGGGGGAAGGAGAACACCCCTCAAAGAACGAGGTACGGGGGTCGCCACGAGAGGCACCTACAGCGACTATGCTAGCCTCAGCTGCATGGAGTTCCTTCTCGAGGAGGGCAATGGTGAGCTCAGTGGGGCAGCGAGCTAGGAAGTGGTACCTGACTGAGCGCAGAGTGTGAGGGAGGCGGGTGACTAGGTGGTAGAGAGTGAGCCAGAGTGGGGGTGGGTTCTTGGCAAGGAACTCATCAGGCATGGCGGCGCAGAAGCGAGCCTCACTAGTGCGGAGGTGCGTAATGAGGTCAGCGACTGTATGGAAAGAGGCTAAGTCGGGGAACAGGTAGGGAAGAGAGAGACGGCCTAGTGCGGCAGAGGCCGGTGAGGAGTAGCGGGCAACGACAGCAGTGTACAGTGCCTGTGCAGTCTTGTGCTGCCCAAAGTGCTCGCGCTCATCTATCGGCACGGAGTTGCGAATAGCGAAGCGAGCGTGGGCGTCACGGGTCTGCCACTGTGAGCGGGCAGTGCTGTCAGCAGTAGCAGCAGGAGAAGGAGCATGGCCTAGGGCGTGATCGTACAGTGAGATGTCCTCCTTGGCAGTGAGTTGTAGGAAGAGGTGTTGGTCATCTAGTTAGGTTTTGAACTTCACTGGGCGGCCCTCAGCATCGAAAGCCAGCACAGGAGGGCTAGCCATATCGGAAGTAGGAGTTTTAGCCGTAGGGGCACCCCAAAAACAGTAGGCAGTGCAACTCAGGTAGGGCGGCTCGGTCCAGTACAGGCGGCGCGGCTCAGTTCAGGTAGGGCGGCGCGGCTCGGGAAGGGCGGCGCGGCTAGGTTCGGGCGGCGCGGCTAGGTTTGGGCTGGGCGGCTCGATTCGGGCGGCTCGGTTCGGGCGGCAAGGTTCGGGCTGGGCGGCTCGGTTCGGGCTGCTCAGGTCGGGCGGCTCGTTCTGGGGGGGCCGTTTGGGGCCTCTAGGGGCGAGCGCGGGGCCGTAAGGGGCCGCTAAGGGCGAGCGCTGGGCCGATCGGGGCCTCTAGGGGTGAGCGCGGGGCCGTAAGGGGCCACTAAGGGCGAGCGCGGGGCCGTTCGGGGCCTCTAGGGGCGAGCGCGGGGCCGTAAGGGGCCGCTAAGGGCGAGCGCGGGGCCGTTCGGGGCCTCTAGGGGCGAGCGCGGGGCCGTAAGGGGCCGCTAAGGGCGAGCGCGGGGCCGACGGGGGCCTCTAGGGAGGTGAGCGCGGGGCCGACGGGGCCGTTAGGGGCGATCGCGGGGCCGAGAGGGTCGCTAAGGGGCGAGCGCGGGGCTGTAAGGGGCGAGCGCGTGGGCCGACGGGGCCTTAAGGGGCGGCGCGCGAGTCGCTAAGGGGCGGGTCGCGGGTCGCGGAGCCTTAGGGGGCCGTGAAAAACGAGGCGCCCTAGGGCGCACTTAGGTAGGTAGGTAGGTAGGTAGGTAGTGATGGGCCCTAAAAAACGGTCCTGGCGAAGGACCTGCTCTATAACATATTGAAATGAACGAACAGGAATGATTGAACTAATAGTGAAAGCAGTACAAGTACCTAACCCTAGAATTGTGTACCCCCTATAGGCTAACCCACTGTAGCCTAAACAAGCACAACATATATAATGTTTGACAACATTCGATATTGGTTACATCTGCGACGATCGTCGCTGACTCTCGTATTCAAATTCGCCATCAATCGTATTCGTCGACGACATTTTCGCCACACCTAGATTTCACGGCCAGAGGATTTCGGGACCAGACTTTCAACTCTACTAGCGACAAATCGCCCAACTCGACCCGCCCACGACAAACGATTCGATTTCAACTGCTACCAGCTGCAGCTGCGGAAGGGACCACCGAAAGTTTCGGTGGTGTAAAGAGAAATGTGGACCGTTCGTGCAACGGCGAATTTTCATCACGGTTTCTGGTCTACGTCAACGGGATCGCCCTTGAAGAATTTTGGGCACGGCTTACCTGGTTTTCGACATCGCTTCTCCACACCGACACGTTTTCACCTGGACTTCTACGCTCAACGGCTTTATGAGTGGGACTTAACACCTGGTTTTGTTGGATTTTACTTAGGCGCAGCTGCGAAACTTTTCTGGTGTGCTTTCTTGGAGGGGGGGAGAAAGTGCTTCGCACTGTTATTTCCTTAGCATTTTCTCGGTCCTTTCTGACTTCGTCAGGTTGCGCCAGCACGACGGACGATCGCGATCACACCGACAAGATCAACGGTTTCTGCTTCATCGCGATTGAACTTCGCGTCAGCAGCTTCCCTCCACATTCTCGTCATCATCGACTGTCTGATCTGCAGTCATCACATGAACGGCCTACATTCCAACCTTATCAAAAGTATTGTTGAAGGCATTTCGGCTGTCGGATTCAGCTCAAGAGGAGATCTACGGCTTCCTTGCTAGTGTGTGGCCTGTTTCAGTACAGGGCTGCCTTATGTAGAAGGTGGGAGAGTGTAAGGATTTTCAAATCCTTACTGAGGCACTCGTTAGCGAGGCATCCCGATGGTCACGCGACGAACCTGCCCTTCCTATTTCGTCGCACCGAACCACTCCCGAGTCGCCTCCGCACCAATCGCAACCATCACCGAGCCATCCTCGCCCAACCTCTCCGCCTTGCTAGGACCTCCCCTATTTAGGCCTCGTCACTTTGATTGTATCGTCATTCAGTAATTCAGTAATCAGTCATTCTCTTTATTCGTTTTACTGCACACTCTGCAAGTTCATTCATAACAGCAAAAACCGTTTGCACAAGTGGTTACATGCTCTTAACAAGTCAAACCAAATGCGTTAAATTTTGTTGAAGTACATTTCAATCAAGCAGCGAATGCCCCTGAATAGATATAGATTCCACAAAAGAGCTCAGCTGAGCTGTCCACTGTCAGCAACGACCACAGGTTTCCTTGTAGAACCCTGGAAGGGACAAATTGTATGTGTCAGGCAGGTTCATACGGTATTGGTAAAGCTCAATCAACAAGCGTGAGAATACTTACGCTGGCTGTGCCAACAGCTTCGATTGCCTTGACAACGTTCATTCCCTCAACAACACTACCGAAAACCACGTGCTTGCCATCAAGCCAGGGGGTCGACACCGTGCAAAGGAAGAACTGCAAGGGCAAACGACAATACACGAAAAGAAATCAGTATCAGAACCCGCACGCAGTACAGGGGATAACAATTGGGACAGACAGCTGATTGGGCATTTCCATTTTATGAGCTGGAGGGAAGCGAACGAACCTGGGAACCATTGGTATTTGGGCCAGCGTTTGCCATGGAGAGAATACCAGGTCCGGTGTGCTTCTTAACGAAGTTCTCATCCGGAAACGTCTCACCATAGATGCTCTCTCCTCCGGTACCGTTATGTTGTGTGAAGTCACCTCCCTGTTCAGGCAAAAGCGAATAAAATTCGTAAGACTAGAGCAATGCACAAACAGTTTCATAACAGCGAACTAATGTGTCGCTAAATATGTAAACAACCTTACCTGGCACATGAAGTTAGGAATGACACGATGGAAGGTGGAGCCCTTGAAGTGAAGAAGCTTCCCAGGTCGGCTCTTCTCGCCTGAAAGACGCGCGATTTATTTAGTAAGAGCTCAACATCGCACGAATCATTTTAGCAGTACCCAATGGCCATTAACGATCGCACTCACCAGTACACAGAGCGCGGAAGTTCTCAGCTGTCTTGGGCGTAACATCACTATAGAGCTGTAGACAAACACGGGAAGACAAATAAGGCACGGCATTTAACCACTTGCCATTCTTGCGGAAGACGCTGAGTAATCACGAACCTCCATGATTATCCTGCCAGCCGGAGCTCCCCCAATGGTGATGTCGAAGAAAACTCTGGGGTTCGGCATGACGAATTGCTGACCTGGGATTCACCTAACCGACAGGAGAAACGGAAATGCCTGGACCAGTCAGTTCAACATTCGCATCAAGTACACGTTGCCCAAAGGCGATATATGCATGCTTAGCATACCTTGAGTGGAAGATTGGATCTCAGAAACTAGAGTGGGCAGAGATTGAAATGGTGTGAGTCCTAAATTTGCTGAAGGGTAAGGATTAACACACTGAACCGTACTGTAGCTCACTGAAAGATGAAATACCGTCTACAAGCACTTGTTGTGGAGCATGACAGTGGCAGCTGTCTCCAAGCACTTGTGGAGCCATGTTGCCTCTGCCTGGAGGGTCGTGACAATCCTTGAATTTCTCTACTGTATCAAGTTTCGTCGCTGTCGCAAAGCATCTCGCCAGCCACTGTGACAGGACCTGTAACTTTCGTGACAGCGGAAAGCGGTGATCACTCAAAATTCGGCGTTTCTTTTCAAATGCTGCATGGTGAACGAAGTGCAACTGAGATTGTGGGTCCGCGATAGTAACTAGCCAAGGCAGTCGTTGGTGATGGCCAACCTCGTCTCTCAGAAATGCATATTTACAAAATTGCCAATCAGCACGGCCAATGGCACCCAGACTATAGCCTGGGCGCAGCCGAAGGCCTCCCCATAAAAATATTTCGAAAAATAATATTAAAAATATTATTTTCTATAATGGCCACCGAGTAATTTGTTTTTTACATTTGGAAAGTATTCGGGTAATACATCCGGTAAGTCCAGCTAATAACATATACCTGCGTCTCTATAAATGCTTCGAGTGCAGCGGGATGATTTTAAGCGCGTTTTTCTGGTTTGATATTCGACCAGAGTTCACACGGATGACACGACATCACATTATGTGGTCTATGTGGTTTTCCCTTTTCGTGGACCTGTGTCAGCAGTTTCACAGCCAAGTCAGCAGGAGCGAAGCGCGTGTTGGACAAGTTGGCGAGCCCCCTGCCCAGCTCACGAACTGATGTCTTCTTCGCGTCAATAGGTAACTGCTCAGTGTGTCCAGATGGCACTGAGTGATTGTGTGGATGTCCTTATCGGCGGAGTTTAGGACCTGATTCTGCATTATTATTGGTCACAAGATTTGCTGCCCTCCATGTTTGCCCAATCAGCGCATGACATACCATCTTCCCCATAGCGTTCATGCGTTTGGTGCGGTTGGTGGACCGGTGTAATGATTACACGAATGTTCATGGTGTTTACTGATTCACCCTCGCAGGACCTGTAAATCTTTCGCTGCACTATATAAATACCTACATTAGTTAAGCTAACTCTTAAGTCCGCCTTTTAACATTTTCATTCCCCGTTTTCGAGCTAAATATTTGGTAGCCCAGCATTTCTTGTTCTGAGTTTGCTATGTAACAGATACGAATTTCAGGCGTCAGGTCAATCAATTTTGTCTGCAGGTTGCACCAAAATCAGATTTATCACACCACGTCTGAATGTGGAATAGCCGTCCGCTCAAGGTGGTGATCGAGTTCTCCAATCGTGTGTTCCTGGTAGATCTGCTGTCCGTTTGTGCGGAAGCTCGGGTTTTCTGAGTCAGACGATGTATCATCCACCGAGGATAATTCTCCTTGTGCTGCATCAACATTTCCAGTAACGCTTATTCGGCGTTGCCATGTGGATCGGGTCTTGGATGACATCAGAAATCCGTGGATAACATTTTCAATGAGTCGATAGCAGCTCAGCCCGGCCTATCCGAGTCCTCGGGTGAGCACATGACGGCCCATGCTGGCGTGTACGTACGTGGAAACTGATTCCTTGCGCTTCGCAGTCCGTCCGTCAAGCCGCTCGATTCACGAATCACGAGAGAGTATGTTGCTGAAGTCTCCGCGGATCAACTGCGCAACCACCTCGTCACGGAGAGATGCTGTGGCACGAACGGAAGTGAAATCAAAACCGGTGGGGCGCATTCTCGCCTCCGTTTTGGAATGTTGGAGGGGAGAGGTCGAAACAAATTAAGCGCGATGGCCCCTGACATTTTGTTTTTATATCGTACTTCAGAAGTATTGAAGTTTTTTCATGACTCCTTCACTATGTTTCTTCCTGTTACTTCGATTAAAAATAATTACAGTCGACTAGTTGTTTGGAAAACAAGACATACACCCTTTCTATAAACCGTTCTGAGCGCATCCTGCATGACGCCCCCGGCTTAGGGCGCGTGTCTTTTGGTATAGACGTTCGGAAATCTGGTTGAACTTTTGGTGGTATCTTTTTCGTTAGTTTCGTTAGATACTTCGCATGGCTATCGTGTGTCCAAGGACAATGTCATGTCTGAAGCGGGACCGAATCTATGGTTGAACTTCTCGTACCAAACAGTCTCGCACGAAAATCCAATCGTGGGTCCTTTTGACCAAACACGATGAAGAAGCGAATTCTGCGACTGTCGCAGCTGACGTCGTTAGCACGAGCGACTCGATCGACAGGGTTCCGGCTTCGCCAACTCACATGTGGCGGTGGACGCAAGGGGACATACGTGGCGCTCTGTCAAGAGGCCAAACCGGGTAACCTACGACAATGGGCCACGACTCGGGAAAGTTGCAGAAGTTCAACTTCGTAAGTCGACCATTTGTGTGTCTTGTGGTTCTCGAGAGTGTTGGAACCGCGACTCGGGTTACAGATTTGGCTATACTCGAGCCTAGGTCGACCTAGGCTCAGATGGAAAAGTTCAACCAAAAACTCGAGTTTTGCTTATAAAAAACAGAAGACACGCGCCCTTAGCACCCGAAACAGAGTGGCACTTCCTGTGGCGTACGAGTACCCTTTCCTTTCCCTCCTCCCAAGAACCGTCACTCCCTCCTCCCTCACTCATGCAGTAACCGCATTGTCCCCCACACCCTGTCCGGCGCACGCTTTCCCCAAATCCCCCGTCCCGCAGAAGCACACTTTCCCACCCTCCCCCGGTTTCCCCATCACCTCCACCTTCCTTCCCCCCGCGCTTCCAATCATTCACTTCGACCGAATCCTCCCAGCCCACCCACCACAAACTTCCGCCCGTCTGCTTCCTCGCGCAGCGGACTCCTTCCGCCACGCGCCTTCAGCTCCCTGCCTCGCGATTGGTGGTCTTTCTTCCGCAGCCGCACCCTCCCTCCACCCCCCTTTTCCCCACTCTCCCCGCTCGCTCTCACCTCTTCCCCAGCCATCTGGCGCACCTTCCCCCCGTCCCATTTCCCCTCATCCATCCACTCTTCCCCGCTCAGCATTCCTCATCCCTTGTGTTAGCTTAGGCAAGCAAGCCATAAGAAGGCACGCAGTCCGTCGGAATCGTCAGTGTGAGTGTTTTTGCTTTCTCGTCTCAGCAGCAGCGACTCCTGGCTTCTCCCCACCCGTCCCTGATATCCGCGAGCCTTTTCCTCTGCTCGCTCTGTCTCAGGAGGGTAAGAGGGTCGACAGTCCGGACGCCTGTTTTCTCTGCTGTTCGGAAAGCTATTTTCGATTACTTTCTCCTCGAGGCTGCTTCTCAGGAAGGAGCTTCTACGTACTTAGTCGTGCGTTTCTCCTGAAGAAACCGCACACGCCTCACACAGGCCTACACGCGTTGTAGCAGGAATCACGCTCGTGTCTTCCTGCCTTTACTTCTGACTCTGGTCGGCATTGTGCCACATTCTCTACGACATTTTTCGGAACGATCATGGCAGCTTCGTGCATCGTCGCAGCGGGTCAGGCCGTCGCGAGCCGCGCGCCGCCTGCTGTTGTTGTTAGCGCTTCGGGGAGGCATCCTGGAGCGTCAGCATCCTCAGAGCGACCGTCGAGCTTCGACGCGCCGCAACTTTTCGGCAAATCTCTCTCCAGCCCCAGCAAGCCTTCAGCCAACGGCGGAATGTCCGCCAGCCGCGCGCGGAAGCTGTTTTTCCTCCGCGCCGCGCGCCCTCTCCTCCAGAAGACCGCACCTCTGAGGCGGTGGCAGCGCAACCGCGCCGTGTCGCAAAAGGAAGCGGAGGAGAAAAATAAAGACGAAATGACTGCGACAGATGTCATGGATGCTTTGGTCGCCGGATCAAATCTCACTGAAGGAATGGACCCTCTCCCTCTACACGCGCAAGGCACGTCTTTCATCGATGTAACCGACGGCGGCGCAGAGTCCGTGTCTGCGCAGCAGCTGCAGCAGCAGCGGTCGTCCTCCCCGGCCCTGAACCCCGTCGACTGGGTGCTCCTAAAAGCGCAAGGCGTGCCTATGCCATCGTTCGACTTCGATATCAAGTGGAACTTTCCGTGGCCGCGCGACGGCGACAGTGACAACGGTCTCCCGCCCCCCGCGTCGCTCGCGTCGCTTACGGAGCGCCGCGACGCTCTGAAGCAGGAGCTGGAGGTGCTGGAGCTTATGCTGCGGCCGCAGTGCCCGTGGCCGCGCGACCCGCACGCCTTTATCGAGGAGGAGTGGGTGCTTTCTCAAGAGGAGGATGAACAAGACGAGAGCGACGCGGAAGAGACGACGGCTTTCCTCGTGGAGGAGAGCGATGAGGAGATCAACGTCGTCGAGGTTCTTCCCGCCGGTCCGCATTGCGCGTGGCCGCGGCACGCGGGCCGCGTGGCCACACCCGCCGCCGAGCCCCCCACTTCCGCCGTAACCTCCGCCGCGGTCACCGCTGAAGCGTTCGCGCGCTGTGCCTGGCCCCGCACCAACAATCAGTCGACACCACTTTCCGCCGTTTCAGCCGTTTCAGCCGCATCCGCCATTTCCGCCGTGTCCGCCGCCCCAGCTCCCGCCCCTGGCCCTCGCTGCGAGTGGCCCAGGAAGTCGTTTAACCCTCTCGTCCCGATCGCCGCGCCATCGACTCCCGCCGCCCCCGGCGCAAGTTGCTCGTGGCCGCGCGTGGCCTCTTCCGCTACCGCCGTTACCGCCGTGAAACCCGTGTCCTTCGTCCCCAGTCTCGATACTTCCGCGGCACCTCCGTCCGCGCGTTGCGCATGGCCGCGGGGATCCGCGCAAGTGCAGGAGCAGCGTGTGTTGGCTTCCCCTGGCCCGCACTGCGCCTGGCCGCGCAAGAGCGCGCTGTCCGCCGTGGCTCCCCCTGCTGTAGCGGCCCCCGTTCCTACTCCTGCTGAGGCTCCTGCGGTCTTCGGTCCGCGTTGCTCGTGGCCGCGCGCAACGTCCGCCACTTCCGCCGTCGCACCTCCTTCCGCCGTTTCCGCGGCCGCCTCCGCCGCCCTTCCGCACCTCGACCTCGCCGTGGGTCCTCGCTGCAGCTGGCCCCGCCAAACTTCCACCTCTGCCGTGTCCGCCTTAGCCGCGGCGGTGGCTGCCGTCGCAGACTCCCCCGCGCCCGCGGAAGCGACCCCTCTCGGCCCGCGCTGTGCGTGGCCGCGTGCTGTCCCCACTGTGACCCCCGTGGTGCGGGAAGTGTCAAAACCGGAACCGGTCAAGGCGCAGCAGCAGGAGCAGCAGCAGGAGGAGGTAGCGCGAGTGCAAGCGCCTGGCGCAGCAGCGCGCGTAGCTTCTCCTGCGGTTGACGTGTCGGATGGTCCGCGGTGCATGTGGCCGCGCGGCTCAGTGCTCTCCCAGGCGCTTATGGGTGGCGCGGCAGGAACTGGCAAGGGCATGATGAGCGTGGGTTTGGAACTGCCCGCTCCTACTCCTGTTGCTGCTGCTGCTGCTGTCCCTATGGGCCCGCGGTGTGAGTGGCCGAGGAAAGGATCCGTTGCTGCTGCAGCTGCTGCTGCACCGGTTGCGGCAGTGGTTGTGGATGTGGAGGTTGTAGCAGCGCCTGCTCCCACCCCCATGGGCCCCCGCTGCCCCTGGCCAAGAAACGCCTCCACTCCCGCTCCTACCCCCGTTGCTGCACCTGCCAAGCCTGCTGCCGAGCCTGTGCTGAGGCGGCAGCTGAGCGTCGTGGGCTCTAGCTTCACCATCTCCAGCAGCAGCAGTGGCGGCAGCGCCAGCAGCTTGGATCAGTACATGAGGCAGAGGAAGCGTGAGCCGGTGGTGTCCGGGCTGCCCCTGCAGAGTCCCACTGATCCTACCACCAGGACTGCCATCACAAGCACCACCAGAACCAACTGGTGTTAGTTTGGGGAAGCTCGTTCAGGAACAAGCGCTGTGTGAGAGTTATGGGAAACTGCTGGACAACTGCTGGACATTTTTCTACTAAGTGGGGCTTGGAGGATGCTTGTGCCTAAGGCCCGTTCCTCCTCCCACCTGCCCCTATTTTTTTTCCCAGAGATGCTGCTCAGTTGGCCAAGTTCTGGCATGAGATTAGGGGCTTCTATGGGTTTCCTGCTCAGCTAGTCCCTAATGTCCAGCTACAGATTGGCCACCACGTACATAATTCAATTGTGGCAGGGCCCTGCTGGCAAGCAGGGGCTTGCTTTTCTGTATTCCCCTTGATTTTAGGGGTGTTCACACTTCTGTGTGCGTGGGATTTGCATGTAGATGTAATGTTTGTGATTTAATTTGAGTTTGAGATGTGGGTTTGCTTATACCAATCATGCAGGTAATACGGTAAAACAGTAGTTGTTATGTCCAATCACCTTGTACGGTGTTAGTCTGAAGATTTGGGATTCTCAACGTTCCATCCTCTAACCTCAACCACACTGAATAGTACAGCTGGAAATGCTGTAACAAGCAGTCACGTGTTTATAAACGGAGATCTAAGCGAGATAGTACAAGTTTAGAGAGGATGCGATAAAGTATTCTAATAATAATCTGCGTAACTAGCAGGCTAAAGATTCAAGTGCAACACCATTTTGTCAAACTGTGACTCGGGGACAGAATGAAAGATGGGAGGGGGAATTGAGAATTGAGAATGTGCGTACCGGGGATAATGTTCGCAAGAAGAATCCTCTCTGGCGCACCGCGGCCTCCTTCAGGGTTCGCGTCGGGCACGACACGGTCTGTTCCTTGTCCAATCACATAAATCTGCCTGGCTCCACCGACCGAGCCCAAGATTGTCAGAGAGACTTGTTTAGGTGGTCAGAGAGCCTCTGGGCTGACCGAAATCGAATTTGCTTTTGGGTTTCCGTCCCAGCCCCAGCCATTTGGGTTCGAAGCGCATTCTTCAAGCCGCGAGCCCATTTCGAACATGGACCAGTAGATGCAGCAGGCAGGCAGACAGGAGGACAGCGCCGACTACTGTTCTCCCTCACAGAGCATGCTTTCCAAATTCCATCCCAGCCATGCCTCGCTTCTCATTTCGTTCCCGTTTCTCTGCTCTGTGTGTTAGCCTTCTCGCTGCCCCTTATTTCACAGTCCTTCCAGCCCTGTTGCCTCACCAAAACCACCTTCCTCTTTCTGTCCCGTACCACACCCACCCCCCATCCGCCATTTCAAACTTATCGTGGCCTCCAGCTGGCGGCGCGGCTGATCCACCCACCGGCCGACACAGCCTCAACGCATCACACCACACCAAATCACACCAAACCACACAAGCAACTTCACAAAATAGTCCTCACAGCAGCAACATCACCGTTGTGCGCCTCAACTTGCCATATCGTCACTGTAGCCTCGTTGCAACTCTATCCTTCGCACCCTACGGCCCGTTTGCTTGAAACCCGTTTTCTTCCTGTCTCCAGTCCGCTACCTCCATTCCGTCGTGTCGGTCAAGCCAGTAGGAAGCTTTCGAGCCGGACTGGTCAATCAAACTTTCCACACACTCTCTTCCTCGTCTCCTCTCTGCCAAGCAAAACACCGCCCCCTCCGTGAATGCCGTACAATACTTACAATTCATCCACTACCACGCTTTTCCGTTATTGCGCTCGCCGCACCTTACCTTACTATCTCTGTTCGTCTCCGCCTCTCTCTATCTCGCGTACCGCGTAGCTCGCTCACTCCCCTCTGGTTATTCACCCTCTCCCCGCTATGCGTTCTTGAGCGGACAGTCCTGTCCCGAAACGTCCCGAAACGGCCCGGCACGGTCTAGCTTACCTGACCCAATCCGAGTATCCCTACACCGCGCCGTTACCACAGCTTACCTCACTACCGCTCCCATTACTCCGAATCTCTAGCCGCAATTTCGAGGCACAATTTCGTTGCGGTGGGGGAACAGATCGGTGGCAGCCGTCATTCCCTTTCCCTTCATTGGCTCTGAGTATCTAGGTTCCAGTCGAGGCTGCGGCGTTATAAGAGTCAACTGTCCCTCCTCACTGCTCCAACCAAGATGAACGCCCGAGGGCGGCAAACCGCTGAGAAGTGTTACCGTTTTCGCAACCTTTCGCACAGCAAGTCTGGCCAGATGGATCGCTGCTAGTTGAATGCCGAAGGACCCATAAAGAGTAATTCAGGTCTCCTCTTTCCCTCTCCCCCCCACGCCACGCTATCCCCTTTCACCCTTGCGCTCATCCGTGTGTGTGTGAGAGAGAGAGCGAGAGAGTGAGGTGGCAAGACAGCAGCACCACCGGCAGCACCAGCCATGGCTGCTCTTCGCCGTGAAATGCTTTTCTGCCGGAGACCCGCCCTAACCCGCCTAGCTTCGTTGCGACAGAATGCTCATGTGCTCAATTCCCTTGTGCTGATTGCCGTTCTACATGCGGCGGGGGCTGGGAAAATCGCCGAATCCAAGTCTTCCAAGTCGTCAGGGTCGTCGTCCGAGTCGCGCGACTCTTCCGCGTCGCTGTACAACGTCCGCCTGCGTTCCGCACCGCCCGTGCTCGCGTACCGTGGCGGCATCAGCGGCTACGCAGCGACGGCACCCGGGTTTTACGGCAACGAATACAACATGCTCTCGACGACGCTCTCCGCGCCGTCCTCCGCCATGGCGGAAACGGCGGAAGCGGCGGCGCTGAGCAGCGCCAGCGTGACCGGCGAACGCGCAAGCGGAAGGGGCTCGGCGGAGGCGGAGGCGGAAGCGGAAGCGGCGCAGGTGCGGATGCAGCGCCCGCCGAAGGTGAACATGGCGTCGGCGCACGTGCGGCAGTTCTCGAGCTACCTGCAGTGGCAGCAGGGGCAAATCGCGACGGACGTGGGCGTGGATCCCAAGAACATCGTGTACAAGTAAGAAGTAATGGGGGACTTGGGCAGGGCAGGGGAGGTGAGAGAAGGTTTTCGAGGCGCCTCATAAGGCAACGGACGTGGGCGTGGATCCCGAGAATATCGTGTACAAGTAAGAAGAGGGGAGAGGGAAGCCGCCCTGGGGCGCGCAGGGAAGGGGAGGGGGTGGGGTGGGGAGAGAGATGTTCGGGGAGACGTTGGGCATGGCTGTCTCTGCGCAGATCGCGACGGACGTGAGCGTGGATCCCGAGAATATCGTGTACAAGTAAGAAGTAATGGGGGACTTGGGCAAGGCAGGGCACGTGGAAGTAAGAGGGAAGCGCCCTGTGCAGCGCAGGGAAGGGGAGGGTGGGGAGGCGAGGCGCGGGGAGGGTAGGGGATGGGGAGATGAAGGAGGTGGTTGTGGGGAAGGGTGACGCGTGACGAGGCGGAATGCAAGGTGGTCGAGGCGGAAGGAGACTGGGCAGGCGGGCGAAGGGCAGAGAGAGGGCAGAGAGGGTCGCTCAAGTCCCTTCTCCTCCCGGTGCCTCATCGCTCCGTGTCTCCCCTCCTCCCTCCTCTTCCCCACGCCCGTCCTTTCGTCCTTTTTACCATCAATACAGAACTCCCACTTACCCCCGCCCGCTTCTTCCCCCCCTGCTCCCCCCCCCTTCCTCCCAGGTTCACCTTCGCGAGCAACGGCTTTGCGGCGATGCTGACGCCCGCGGAGGCGGAGCAGCTGCGGAAGCACCCCGCGGTGGAGCGCGTGACGCCCGCGTTCGAGGTCACCCCGCTGACGACGCACTCGCCGAGTTTCTTGAAGCTGCCGACTTCGCTGTGGCGCGCGAACGGCGGCGAGAAGAGCGCGGGGCGCGGTGTGGTGATCGGCGTGATCGACAGCGGGATCTGGATCGAACACCCGTCGTTCGCGGACGGCGCGAGCGGGAATGTGAGTGCTGGGGGAGGTTGCAAGGGATGGGAAGGACAGGGGGAGGAGAAGGGAAATGGTGGGTGTCAGGTGTTTGTTTCGCTCCGGGAAAGGCACCAAGTAACACAAACGGGAAATGTCACCCGTCGGGTGCCGCTTTCTAAAAAATGCATAGAATCAGCAGGAAGCTAACCACTTCCCACTGCGCAACAGACATTCACTCGTCCTTTCACCTCATCTCGCCATACCCCCTCCCCCTTCACCCTCGCTTTGCCCTTCCTCCGCGCTTCCCCCCGTGCGCAGGGCTCCGCGGCTTACTCCGCGCCGACCAAGTGGGTCGGCAAGTGCCAGACCGCGCCGGACTTCCCGCGCTGCAACAACAAGGTCATCGGAGCGCGCGCGTTCAACGGCGGGTTCGTGCGCTACCGCGGCGCGATCGACGGGACTCTAGACTACCTGTCACCTCGGGATTCCGTCGGGCACGGCTCGTGGTGCGCGAGCGCCGCGGCGGGGAACTCGGGAGTTAAAGCCGTGAACAACCGGCGGCAGGCGATCGGCGCGACGAGCGGCATGGCGCCGCGCGCGCGGCTCTCGGTGTACAAGGTGTTTTGGAAGGCCAAGGGCGACATGAGCGGCTCGGCTTCTAGCGTGGATATCGACGCCGCGATCGACGCGGCGGTAGCGGACGGCGTGGATGTGATCAGCATGTCGCTGGGCGGAGTTAATCCGTACGCTGGGTACTTCGACGATACTAATTTCCTCTACGCCAATCAGGTACGCGATAATGAGTGTGCTTCTGTATATGACGGCCCTGTTCCGCTTCCCGTCACGTTTCGAGCTAACCCGCACATTCTCCTCCCCTCCCCCATCCCCCGTTCCCCCTCCACTTTTCCGCGCATCGCGCTCTTCCCCCCCGCCCGCGGCAGGCGGGCATCGTGGTGGTGTGCGCGGGCGGCAACAACGGCCCGCCGCCGCTGACGCAGTCGATCTACCGCACCATCATGCACTTCTCGCCCTTCTACCTCACCGTCGGCGCCAGGTACGGCTGTGCGCGAGAGGGTGCGTGCGTGCGTGCGTGCGCGCGTGAGCGCGCGCGTGCGTGTGTGAGTGAGCGTGAGTGCGAGAAAGAGGGAGAGGCGCAGTCGATCTACCGCACCATCATGCACTTCTCGCCCTTCTACCTCACCGTCGGCGCCAGGTGAGGTTCCCCGTCGCGTACCGCCCTGCCCCGCTCTACCCTGCCCCGCCCCGCCCCGCCCCGCCCCGCCCCGCCCCGCCCTGTCCCGCCCCGCCCCGCCCCGCCCTGCCCCGCCCTTCCCCGCCCCGCCCCGACCTGCCCTGCCCGCCCTTCCCAGCGACACTGTCTTCTCCCCTTCGCCTCTCACTCTGTCCTACACCCCCTTGTCCCCGCTCCCCGCTCCCTCTTTCCCCCCCCTCTCTCCCTCCCTCTCCCCCCATCAGCTCCACGGACCGCCACTACACGTCGAAGCTGCGGCTCGGCACGGGCGTGAACCTTTGGGGCGCGGGGTTCGGCACGGGCACGCGCAAGGTGCGCGGGCTGCCGCTGCTGTTCGCGCAGGACGCGGTGGCGTACGGCAACACGGCCACCGACGTGAGTGTGTTGGGGGGGATGCGCATGTGTGGCTGTGTGCGCGGGCCGCCGCTGGTGCCGCTGCTGCTGGCGCAGGACGCGGTGGCGTACGGCAGCACGGCGACCGACGTGATTGTGTGGAGTGGGGTGGGGTGGGGCGGAGTGGGGTGGGGTGGGCGGGGGATGGGGGGAACGCGCATGTGTGTCTGTGTGGGGGGTCGGGTCGGGCCGCCGCTGCTGCTGGCGCAGGTCGCTGTGGCGCAGGTCGCTGTGGCGTACGGCAGCACGGCGACCGACGTGAGTCTCCCAAATGGGAAATGCGCGCGTGCGAGAGAGAGAGAAAGAAAGAGAGAGTGTGTGCGTGCGTGTGTGTGTGTGCGCGCGCGCTGTGTCGGGGCTGCGCGGGTGCTGGCGCATCAATGAGTGTGTGAGATGGAGGAAGTGCGCGAGTCGCTCATCCCACCTGACCCCCTCCCCCACTCCCTCCCCCATTCCATCCCCCCACGTACTCCTCTCAGGCGACGCTGTGCCTCCCCGGAACCGTCGATTCCGCCAAGGCGAGCGGGAATATCCTCGTGTGCACAGCGGGGGGCGCACAGGCTTCGTTCGTTACTAACCCGCCCTCCCCGCACCCCCATCTCTTCCCCGTCACCTCCCTCTTTCCACTCCACCCCCAGGCGAAGCTGTGTATCCCCGGAACCGTCGATTCCTCCAAGGCGAGCGGGAAGATTCTCGTGTGCACGGCGGGGCAGGCGTCGTTCGGCACGCAGGCGGACACGGCGGCGGGCGCGGGCGCGCGCGCGATGGTGCTGGTGAACGAGGCGGGCGGCGGGGACGTGACGCTGGATATCTACGACGCGCGCATCCCCATCCTGCACCTCGCGGTGAAAGAGGCGGACAAGCTGCGCAAATACATGCGCGCGACGCCCAAGTGAGCATGCGGGAGGGAGGGGGACGGGGAGTGGGGAAGAAGGGTGTGGGGGGTGGATTGGAAGATAACGCTTGGGACATTGTGGAGTAGCACTTTTCTTGCGAGTGATTTTTGAGAACTCTCAAAAAGCACCTTTCTCTTTTATGAGGGTTTTTTGTATCCCTTTTTCTCCCATATCCATCGCCATCCCCCTCATCACCGCCATCGCCCCCATTCCCCCCAAACCCCCCATCCCTCCTATCCCCCCTCCCCATACCCCCAGGCCCGTCGCATCCTACTCAACATCTTTGTCGGTTGAGGTGTTCTTCAACCGTATTGCACCCGCCGTCGCACCCTTCAACTGCTTCCTCGTCCCTCCCCTCTCCCACTCCCCCACTCTCCCCCATTCTCCCCAACCCACCAGGCCCGTCGCGTCCTACTCAGCATCCTTCTCAGTCTTCTTCAACCGGATCGCGCCCGCAGTAGCCCCCTTCTCAGCGCAGGGCCCCGTCGTGAGCCCCTCGTCAGACCCCCGCATCCCCGGCCCCACCAACGACATCCTCAAACCCGACATCCTCGGCCCAGGCCTCTTCCTCTGGGGCTCCTCACGCAGCAGTAGCAATAAGGCTGGGAACAAGCCGGGGTATGATATGCTCATGGGGACATCCATGGCTGCTCCCCATGTGGCGGGGATTGCGGCGCTGCTCGTGCAGAAGCGGCCGAAATGGTCCCCCGCGCAGGTCATGTCTGCGATAATGACGACGGCAAGCAATGTGAATAATAAGGGCGGGCCGATCGGGAGGTTTGTGAGCGGGGAGAAGGCGAATCCGTTTGAGATTGGCTCCGGGCATGTGAACCCGCCGAAAGTTTCGGACCCCGGGCTGACGTACAACCTCGGGCTCGGCGATTATCTAAACTTTTTGGCCGGGCAGAATCTGACCGAGGTGCAGGGGTGGAAGATCAAGCAGGTGAAAGCAATTCCGGCGTATAATTTGAATTTGCCGTCGATCGCCGTGTCGCGATTACGAAAGGGGGTGGTGGTGAGGAGGACGGTGACGAATGTGGGAGACAAGGCGGCGACGTACCGAGCCAAGGTTGTAGCTCCGGAGAATGTGCGGGTGGTGGTTTCGCCGAGCCAGTTTACGGTCGGTGTGGGGAAGTCGGTGACTTTTACAGTGGGGTTTACGGTGGTGAACCCCACGGGGAGCTTCTCGTTTGGGAGCTTGACGTGGGAGGACGGTGCGGGGCATTCAGTGCGGTCCGTGCTAGCCGTGCAGCCGATTGCCAAGTGATAATGGATGCGGAGGAGGAAGAATTTGGGAAAGAAATGGGGGAGAATCAGGGGAAGGAGGGAAAGGGGGAATGGCATTGGGCATGCTGTGCAGTCTGTGCTGGCTGTGCAACCGATAGCCAATTGATGGTGGATGGAGAGGGGGGAGATGGGAAGAAGGGGGATGAGAGGAGATAGCGTGGTCCGTCTGGCCGTGCAGCCAAGTGCAAATTGATGGTGGATGAAGAAGGGGGAGAATTAGGTGACGGGAGGAAAGAGAAGTGGGGACGGAAGGGGAAGGGGAGGGGGAGGGGGAGAAGAAATGGCATGTAGCGCGGTCTGTGCTGGCTGTGCAGCCATTTGCCAAGTGATGGTGGATGGAGAAGGGGGGAATTGGGAAGGGAGGGGAGGAGGAAGTGGGGAAGGAGAGGGGAAAGAAGTGGGGAAGGAAGGGAAAGTGGAGGGAGAAGAATGGGGCGTGCTGTGCAGTCTGTGCTAGCCGTGCTACTAGCAGCAGCAAGACGGGGGGAGGAGGGTGAAAAAGGGGAGTTTCTGGAAAGGTACTTACTCTGCCAGCCGAGCTACTAGCAGTGTAAGCTGACTGGTGGGGGGCTGAGAATGACAAATATACGGTGCTCGTGGGTGTCATGCCATACTGCAGGAGAAACGTTGAGAGTGGAGCCAGGGCGGGAGAAGCTAGTTTGACGGTCAACAGAAGGGCATTGAACGGGGAAGGAACGGAAGCAGTAGAGGGAGGGAGGGAAGTTGGGAGTTAGGATAGGAGCTGTGTACATGGAGTGGAGAAGCAAGTTTCTCTTGTAGGTGAGATGGTGGTAATGGTCACTGGTATTTATTGGTAGGTCTCCATTTTTTACTAGCATACACTCTATTCTACATACATGGGGGGAATCGCGGCTCCTCGTACGGTACCATACTGATTGTCCGTACCGTACTACCTTGGTGCTGCCTTGCTGCCTGCGAGGCTGATTTTAGGCGCTCAATTCTAGCCTGGATACCATTTCTGTTTGCCCGATATACTGATACGGTACAACCCGTTCGTAATTACTATCTAATTATTCCAAACATTGATTATGTTATGAGTTGTATGAAAGAAGAGTGCGCAGAATGCAATATCGCGGAAGTGATTACAACTACTGAGCAAACATCGGAGCCTAGGCATAATATAGCAAGGCTAGCTAAGCCCGAGGTCGCGAAGTCGTGCGAGGGTTGGGTGTAGGTTTGGGTTTGGAAAACCCGAAGGCGACGCGGAGGATGTTTGGGAGGCGAGGTCGTCGGACCGAGCCTGAACTCCGAAAAGTTGGAAATGTACGCGTAAGCGGTGCCTCAGTAAGGAATTAGCAAAATTCCTTACACTACCCCCCCCTTCAAGAAAGGTGGTCAATATCAGGCACGTGTCGGCGAGAAAGATACTGCCGGAGTACCGAGTGCCCTTGTAGTGAGTCAGCCGGGACCCACGTATCGTCGTCACTTGTGCGATCCACCCATCGCAGTAGAAAATCGACGTGGCAGCCGGCTGGGGTCGCACGAATGCGATGATTCAATATCTTCCAGGGTTGGAGCGTGGGATCTGCTACCGGTCGGACACTTGGCGCCTGGTGGGGTCGAGCGACGTCGGAGGACTGGGGTGCCACGTAGTGGCGAAGTAAACTGACGTGGAAGGCGTCGTGGATATGCCAGTCGTCCGGGAGGAGAAGTTTCGCAGTGACCGGTGTCAGCATTCGAATGATGCGGAAAGGTCCCACGTATCGAGGACGCAGTTTTGCGGGTTGGGGCAGTCTGAGGTTTTTGGTGTCCAGGAGAACCATCTGCCCCTCGCGGAAGGGTAAATTTCGTCGGTGTTGGTCAGCGTAGCGGCTGGCGGTCGAATTCGCTTTTCGGATAAAGTCAGCTGCTTTGGCACGCGCGTCCTGGAGTTCCGAAATAAACTGCTGTGACCTGGGTACCGGGTTGTCGGGAGTTGTCGATGAGGGTACCACCGGGTCTATCCCGTTATTCAGGTAGAAGGGTGATTGCTTGGTCGTTGCAGATGGGGCGTTATTGTACGCAAACTCGAGCATGGGAAGGTAATCTTCCCACTTGGTGATGTCCGGGCAGTTCGTGCGAATCAGCTGCTCCATCGTTTGGTTTGTCCTCTCCGTCTGTCCGTCGGTTTGCGGGTGGTAGGACGACGAAAATTGCAGGCGGGTGCCGTACTGTGCCCATGTCTCCTGCCAGAATTTTGACGTGAATTTCGGATCTCGATCGCTGATGATCGCCGAAGGTAACCCGTGGAGGCGTACGACGGTCGAGATGAAGAGTCGCGCTGTTTCTTCGGCTGTGATCGTTGTACGGCAGGGCGCGAAATGCGCCATTTTCGTTAAGCGATCAACGACGACGAGCACGGAGTCGTTGCCACTTGCGCCAGCTGGAAGGCCCGTGACGAAATCCATAGTCACCTGTTGCCACGGTCGTTCGGGTGGCTCGAGGGGCTGCAGTAAGCCAGCTGGTCGTTGTCGTGATGACTTCATTGCCTGGCAGGTCGGGCAGGCGGACACATAGCGCTGCACGTCCGACGCCATGTCGGGCCAGTAGTAGTTCCGCTGCAGCAGCTTCAATGTTTTGTCGACGCCGAAATGCCCGGAGAGGTTGGAGTCGTGTACTTCTTGCGTCAGTAATTCGCGTAAGGGTCGGTAGGAAGGTACCCAAACTCGGTTAGTACCGACTTTTAGGTAGTAACTTCCATGCGGTGTAGTGACCCCGCGGTGTTGATTGGTCATGAAAAATCTGTCGATCCTATAGCCGTGCTTGAATAATCCTGCCAATAAAGGGTTGGAATGGGCGATTAGTACTGCTGCGGTCTGCATGGATGGGCGGGTCAGAGCGTCGGCGATGTTGTTGGCGCCCTTTTTATATGTGATGGTGTAGCGGAAATTTGATTCGAGGTAGTCGAGCCACCGGATTTGTCGTGGGTTGAGCTGTGGTTGGCTGCGCATGTACTATAGTGACTTGTGGTCAGTTCGGATTGTGACATTCGCTCCCGTGAGGTAGCATCGCCATGTTCGAAACGCGTGCACGATGGCGAGCATTTCCTTGTCGTGAACCGGGTAGTTGCGCTCGGGCGGCTGCATTTTTCTTGACTCGTACGGGATGGGTTGCAGTCCGTTGCCGAAGTCCTGTAATAGCACAGCGCCGACACCGAAATCGCTGGCGTCCGTCACGACTTCGAACGGTCGAGATGGATCTGCCAGTCGAAGCACCGGGGGTGAACTCAAAATTTTCTTCAGCTCGTTGAAAGCCAGCTGTTCTCTCTCCCCCCAAAAAAACTGCACGCCCTTATGCAGGAGATCGGTTAACGGCCTGGTTACCCCCGCCATATTGGGTACAAAACGGCGGACGTAGTTAACGAAGCCGAGGAAACTCTGCAACTCAGTGATGTTCGTGGGCGGCTTCCACTCCAAAATCGCTTTTACTTTTTGAGGGTCGATTTTAATGCCTTCCCCAGAGACAACGTGCCCCAGAAACTCCAGCTCCGACCGTAAGAACTCGCACTTAGAGCCCTTCGTAATCAGCCGGTTCTGCTGCAAGCGTCGGAACACTTCGTCTAAGTCCTGTAAATGCTGCTCCCGAGTCTTGTCAGAACATATAGCTTACTTGTTTCTGTAGGCTATAGTGGGGTATCCCATAAGGGGTACAACCCAATCAGGGTTTCCTATTTGTACTCACTTCGTTCATAGTCATTCCATTCTCGTTCACTTCTTCTCATGGTATCGAGCAGGTTCCCCTGTGGGAACTGTTCGTAGGGCCCACCACCGCTACCTCTTAACTTTTTTTTCTGCCCGGAGCGCGCTCCGGGCCCTAGTACTTCTTTTTTTCGATCTGCCCTAGTGCTCTGACGGCCGCCCGCCCTAGCGCCCGAGCGCCGCCGCCCTTGCGCCCTGACGGCCGCCCGCCCTAGTGCCCTGACGGCCGCCCGCTCTAGCGCCCGAACGCCGCCCGCCCTATCGCCCTGACGGCCGCCCGCCCTAGCGCCCTGACGGCCGCCCGCCCTAGCGCCCGAGCGCCGCCCGCCCTAGCGCCCGAGCGCCGCCCGCCCTAGCGCCCTGACGGCCGCCCGCCCTAGCGCCCGTGCGCCGCTTGCCCTAGCGCCCTGACGGCCGCCCGCCCTAGCGCCCTGACGGCCGCCCGCTCTAGCGCCCGTGCGCCGCTCGCCCTAGCGCCCGAGCGCCGCCCGCCCTTGCGCCCTGACGGCCGCCCGCCCTGACGCCTGAGCGCCGCCCGCCCTAGCGCCCTGACGGCCGCCCGCCTTGACGCCTGAGCGCCACCCGCCCTAGCGCTCTGACGGCCGCCCGCCCAACCGCCCGTCGCAGCCGCCCGTGAGCTGCCTGTACGCCGCCCGCCGAGCCGCCCGTGCACCCGCCCAGCGTGAGCCGCCCACGACCGCCCAGGCCGCCGTCCACTGAGCTGCCCGCGCCGCCGTCCCTGAGCCGCCTGTGCAGCCGCCAGCGAGCCGCCAGCGAGCCGCCCGTCGCGACGCCCGTCGCGCGCCGCACGAGCCGCCCGTACAGCCGAGCCGCCCCAACCGCCCGTGCAGCAGACCCGCCCGAGCCGCCCGAGCCGCCCGAGCCGCCCGCGCCGCCCCAGCAACCCGAGCCGCCCGAGCCGCCCGAGCCGCCCGCGCCGCCCCAGCAACCCGAGCCGCCCGAGCCGCCCGAGCCGCCCGCGCCGCCCCAGCAACCCGAGCCGCCCGAGCCGCCCGGGCAACCTGAAGAGCCGAGCTCCTGCTCCTGCGGGGCTGCTGCTGCTCCGAGGCGTGCGCAGCTGCTGTTCTGCCGAGTTGCTGCGCCGCTGTGCTACCCGACTCTTCGTGCCCGGTGAGACAATCAGCTGCTGCAATGGCCACCCCCAGTGTCCTGTCTTTTGACGCTGAGGGTCGCGCCATTGACTTTCCAGTCTGGATTGAGGACCTGCAGCTGTACTTACTGTGCGATGCGATCGATGAGGTTTCTCTCTTTGACTTTGTCT